CCGATCCTCACGCGCATTTGAATGGAGGTTACCGGACATTGCAAAAGCCAAATGGTTTGCCAACTTTTGTAGACAAAATACGAAAATGTCCATTCCAGTGACTTTTTGGAGAATTCACAAATACAGGAAAGACGCACTTCTGACTATTTCGTTAACGCTGACTTCGTTGAAGAATATAGTCAAATGTCTGTATCTCATATAGATGCGTTTCAGTCAAAAACCAATAATAAATGTTAATCTTTTGCCACTTCTGAGAGATTATAGGTCTTTGGGAAATATTGGTAGATCTAGGAAGACCATTTAAGTGCAACATCTACCAATAAATTGGAAATGAACAAATTAGTTTAAGTTGATATTATTCGAAAATTAGAGAATGAAACCTGATGGTTTTCTTTTATTATTTGTCACCATATCTTGTGGAATTCTTTCGAGTATCTCGTCTATATAAACTGTATCATTTATTATAGTGTTGTAGGGTATTCAACGGTCGGCCCCGCTCGACTGTAGCCTTTGCTTACTTGTTTTTTTTTTCAAAATGTTGACCCATTTTCTTGTTTTAATCCCTCAACTTTATATTCCTCTCCCGCCATTGAACCCCCGCAAACTACAAATAAAATACGATGTTATCGTCGCTTTTGTTTTACAAATTAACTGACTAAAATAGAAATACGACAAATATAAATAAACCAATAAAACAGAGAGAAAAAATACAAAAGCAAGCATTAAAAATATATTCGCAACAAAAATAATAATAGTAGCTATTATAAATAAATCAAGTTATTCAAACAGCAACAAACCTTGAAACTCCAAACCCTAAATTGGTGTTGATTGTGCCAATAAAAGTTTGAGGCGAAGACAAAATAGTAAATTATGTATATCGCCTAGAGTGTGGGAATTTGTTTTGGAACCGTAATGCAGGTTTGAGTTTTCATGGAAGAATTTCTAGTTTCTTTTTAGATAGCCGCTTCCCTTGGATATCGGAACCTGAAAGGCTATACAAAGAAGAAAATATTTCTACTGCTCATGTGGAAATCTATACAAAGCCAGCCAACATTTAATCAAAGTTTCTTTTAATTAAAAAAAAAAAAACAGTAAAGAAAGTCGGGCGGGACCGACTTTATGATACCCTACACTACTTTGCTAATTATGTAGAGCTCCACATAACAATTAAAAGATTTTATGGCAGAATTTAATCATACACGCTATGATTATAATTGTAATTTAAAGTTCAAAGGACTAAATATGCCGAAGCATTTGTGTCTTTTAAATTCGGACTTATATTGCCCATTTGGTGCAAAATTAATTTGAAATCAGATAAAGATATATATGACAGCTATATCCAAATCTGAACCGATCTCGATAAAATTTGGCATAGATATTTCTGAACTGTATTTGATATATTTCCCTGAATATCGCTGTTACGGAGTGCATATTATGGCTGTGGGTAACAAATACAACAAATCGGATGAACAATATATATGGGAGCTGTAGCTATATCTGAACCGATCTTCACCAAATTTGACATACTAGCTTCTATACTCAATTCGTTCGTAAGTGCCAAATTCCATCCCATTTGAACAAATATTAGACGTTTGGTGCACAATCCAAGGTAAATCGGACTAAGTTACATATGGGAGCTTTATCCAAATCTGAACCGATCTCGATCAAATTTGGCATACTTATTTTCAGGCCTAATTTGGTTGTATGTGCAAAATTCCATAATATTCGGGGTGATATTACACGTTTGGTGCACAATAAAATGCAAATCGGATGAAAATATATATAAGAGCTATATCTAAATTTTGACCGATTATCTCCAATTTCAATAGGGTTCGTCCTTGGGCCAAACAAATGATCTGTGCAAAATTTTATCTAGATAGGGTAATAAATGCGAATTGTACTTTGTTTACAAAAATACATGGACAGACGGACGGACGGATATGCATAAATCGACTCAGAATGTGATTCTATGCAGATCATCAAAAGGAACTATGGGTCTATCTCGTTTCCTTTTGCCTGTTACAAAACAAATGCACAAAGACATAATACCCTGACCACCTTGTGGTGTAGGGTAAAAAAATCGAGATGTAGATTCCTATACACCAAGAGTCATCAAAAATTAGTACCATTTTGTACTTTTCGAATAATTACAGGGCGAGATAAAAAAAGAACTGCAACAACGTCAAACGCCATAATTTTTACATTTTTTTTAAATTTTATTGAATGAAAGCAAAAAATGTCGGAAATAGCATCAAATTATAGAATAGGTTTAGATCTGTTCGAATTGGTCACCTTTGGCACGACTTATGGCTTTAAACGGTCAATGAAACCGTCATACACTGCCCGAATGTTGAGGTGATTGACACTTTGGTATTTTTTAGTACCAACCTTGCTTTCCAAAATACTCCAAACACAATAGTCCAACGGATTGGTATCCGGAGATTTTGGTAGACATTGTGCGTTGAAAATGAAGCGAGAAACCTCATTTTGTAACCATTTTTGGGTGGCGTCTGTTAGAATGTCCAAGGTCTGCGGTTAAAATGTTTGCGCGTCCAAGGATTTAATATACCGTTCAGAATATTTTCGCGATAATTTTCGGCATTTATTCTGATGCCACGGTTGATTAATACGAGCATTGAGCGACCATCGGCTGTTATGGCGGCTCATTACCATGGCCGGCGCTTGAGTTCTGGTGGCCAACCGAAGATGCAGAAGGTGCACATTTTCAGCTGACCTCTTTGGCAAGTAAACACGATTATTTTGTTTGTTCACAAACTGCTGGACATCGAATGTTTGGTAATCGGAGAAAACCAAATTCGGCAGTTCACCACTTTCGGCCAAGCGAAACAACTCTAGCTCTTTCGAGTCTATTTTCTTTCTGTTGTTGTTGCGGTGTAAGCTCTTGCACTTTTTGGAATTTCAATGGCTTTACCCCGAGCTCATTTTTCAATATTTGCCGAATACAATATTACGATGTATTCAGCTCACGAGTCATTTTTCGGCCAATGCGATTTCTTTAGTTTTCGAACCATTTCTGCTGATGTTGCTGTTTTCTTACGTCCACATCACACGGTAACGAGTGATGGTACGAGATACAAAATTTAAAATACTGGAGTGCTCTAACGATAGCCACTTGTGGTTTTCCAGCCAAATATAAAGAAATCACACTATCACGCTTGAATTCCATCACGAATAACTTTTTTTTCTGGAAAGCTCTTACCAAAATGCTTTTGTACGCGTGTAAGCAATATAATGAGCTGTCACTGGAATAATTTTAACAACTGTCGGACGAGTGGCTTAGAAATGAGAGCAGTCTGAACTTGGTTGCAGTTTTCTTATCTCACCCTGTATATGGGAGCTATATCCAAATCAGAACCGATCTTGATAAAATTTGGCGGAGGTATTTCTGGGTTGTATTTAATATCTTATACCAGACATCATTCTTCTGGGGTGCATATTACGAATGTGGGGGTCTTAAACATCAAATCGGATGAAACCTATATATGGGAGCTATAGCTATATCCGATTTTCTCCTAATTCTATGTACTTTCTTCTAGTTTGAATTCGGTCGGATGTGCCAATATTCACGACTTTTGCACTGATATTGACCATTTGGTGCACAATTTGGTTGAAGATATATATGGGAGCTATATCTGAATCTGAACCAATGTCGATAAAAATTGGCAAAGGTATTTATAAATATTAAATGTTCTGCCACCGGAGCTAGTACCCATTTTGAATTACCAATACCAATGTTTAGACAAATCAGTGAAAATCATCACAAGACCGAGTATATGGGGTTATACAAAAAACATGGACCTATACATATAATGTTTCACCACCGGAGCTAGAACCCATTATGATTCGCAAATACCAATTTTTGGACAAATCCGTTGAAAATGTGGCGAAAACCATCAAAATATCGAATATCTTTAGGTACCGTTATATGGCGGCTATATCAAAACGTGGACCGATACATACAATGTTTCGCCACCGAAGCTAGGGCCCATTATGACCTACAAATACCAATTTTTAGACAAATCCGTTGAAAAATGTGGCGAAAACCATCAAAATATCGAATATCTGGAGGTACCGTTATATGGCTGCTATATAAAAACGTGGACCTATATACACAATGTTTCACCACCGAAACTTGAATCCATGATCTATGATCTACAAATACCAATTTTTAGACAAATGTGTCGAAAATCATCAAAATACCGAATATCTGGAGGTACCGTTATGCATCTCATTGTCAATACCAATCATCCTAGATATAATGCAAATTGTTCTGCCAAATTTTGAAGCTCTTCATCAAATAACTTGGGTTTGATCGTGATTTCAACAGAGAGACGGACAGACAGACGGACACCGTTAAATCGACTTAGGATTTTATGTTGATAATAAATATATATATTTTACTGGGTCTACGTCGAATATTTAAGGATGTTACAAACGGAATGACAAAGTTAATATATCCTCGTTTTCAAGATGGAACGTATAAAAAGAGGTTTCATTAAGGTGCGAGAATTTATTCACACGCTCCGGCTCTATCGTGTTATTGACATTGCCGTTATTTTAATGAGGTAGCCATCGTTCGAATCGATTTCAAATGAAAGTGAAAGGTGAATAAGTCACATTTGGCTGCTCTTCAAAATGTTTAAAATTCAAAATATCTTAACTTCCACTTAGCATGAGGGTATTTGATTTCGTTTTCTTGTTTGTGACCGCCAAAAAACAGAATGAAATAACCAAATTTTTGCCAGAATTCGAAACCGGTTCCGGCGGCAATCTAATAGGCAAGAATATTGCTAAATTATACACACACGCACAAAAAAAAACAAATCTGCATTTAACAAAATATGGCTAATGAAGACGACGTGTGTTGTGGATATCAGTGACATAATAGAATAAAAGTGAAACTGGAATACAAAAACAAAAAAAAAAAAAAGAGACAAATACAAAATAACATTTGTTAAAAAATTAAATACTGATGTTTTTATTTTTTTGTTTGTTTGGAATAATACTTTTGGCAAAAGCTAAACCAAAGGTTTGAATTGCTTTTAAATCGTTTCGTATTCAGATGCGTGTACGGTACACACGACGACGAACCGTCCTGTAACGGTAACCATCGTCGGCTAACTCTGTGCCAAAATCGGCAACAGGGGGAGCTATGGAGTTGCTAATATCGGCAAAGGCAACCTGGGATACGCCGCCACCGAAACCACCTCCAAAGGAGTTTCCCACCGGGGGAGGAATGTAAGTGTTTGTGGGTGCGGAATATGTTTGAAAGACCGGTGCAGGTGCTGGGCCAGGAGGAATATAACTGCTGGAGGGAACTGAAACGGAAGCTTCTGGAGGAATGTAAGCATTTGAAGGAGCCCCACCAAAACCACCACCAAATGTCTGGCCAAAACTTCCACTACTCTGTGAGTTACCGAAACCACCTCCCCCTGCAATGGGACCAAATGAGGGTGCTTGATAATTGTAACCCAGTTCCGAGACATCTGCCATTGCAGCAGAGCACAAAGCCAGACATAAAATCGCGTATTTCTAAAAAAGAGAAATTGAAAATTATTTACATTTCAATATTAAAAATTGAATCCTGCCACTTACCATTGTTAATGTCGTAAGAATCTCGGTTTTTGTTTCAGGTGTAATGCCAACACATAACTGATTCAGACTCCAAAGATGTAGTTCACTTTTATACTTTTGCCGTTGATGGCTATGGTCGGTCGATCGTTCGGTGACAATGTCATAAATTGATTAACACAAAATTAACGGAAATTATATTTTCAATAAAAATCCGCGCTAACTTATCTCAAAATGTGTAGCATTTCAACGTTTGTCATTGATCAATCAGATATCAAAATATTTCTGCATCCTTCACAGATTGCAATGCAATGCTTGTATGGGTTGATAGATATTTCGAAACATCTGTCAGATACAGTGGAACCTTTTTTTTGGTGAACTATGACTATTTCGAAAATCTTTTTCATTTAAAACAACCAGTTCTACTGACACCTTGGCTTAAAGTTCCATAATCTGAGCTGATTCATTACAAAACGTGTTTTTGACCACACATCAACCTCAGGCGTCGTTAATGAGGGCAGTTAATTAAAATCGTTTTAGAGGCCTATCTCATTTGACCAATAACAATATATTTCACAGCCAATAAATTAACTTGGTCTTCTGATTTGAATTTTAAGAAGTCGGTTCGGTTGTTGCTTTAATATTCAACGTCAAAGATTGGACAAGTTTAACGTTCTTTTACGAACGTCTTGGTTGTTATATGGATTTCCGTAAACTTTGTGGATGGGCAAATATAATAAATCAAATATATTTTAAACAAGTTTAAATGTTTCAGTCAGTGTACCGACTGTGATATACCCTCAGCATTGGGTCATATATTTATGTATGTCTTTTTTTGGTAACCATAAATATGAGACCTATATTTTTTACAAGATCTAATATTCTTTTTTTTTTAATAATGACTAGGGACATATGCAGGATGAGGACCCGAACTCCTCCGGAATGGTTATTTTTCTGATATTTTATAATTTGCTGGGCAAAAAATTAGAAATTATTATATCAGTTGACATATTGACAAGTTCCGTAATAAAGGAAAAAATATTGCCATGTGCATTGTTTGATCAATATCGGATAGTTATTTTACACATTATGGAAGTTATTTTAATAAAATATGTTGAGCCTTTATGGGAGGAATGGACCGATATATTGGTTGCTATAATTTTTAAAAATTCTCACCATTTATGGGGGTGGTACCAGAGTGAGTGGTCCGCCATATCAAATATTCACACTGGCTCTTGTGTTGGTAGAAATACTAGGGTGTCTGAAATTTTAAGATATTTGGACTTTTATTTAACATGTTACCCTTTGTGTGGAAGCTGTCCGAAGGGGTGAATCGATATCGACAATTTTCCTACCGAATGTTACCACATTTGAATGGAGTCAGATACTCCCTTACCTCTCTATGAGACATTGATTATACCCTACAACACTATGTGTTGGGGGTATTATAAGTTAGGTTGGGCCAAAAATTATGTAACACCTCGAAATATTCGTTTCCCACATAGGAAAGTAAATATGGATCTTCCTATCTCGCCGAGCTGAGTCGATCTAGCTATGTATGTCCGTCCGTCTGCCCGTCTGTCTGCAAATTTGTAATCACGCTACAGTCGCAATTATGACACGAACCTCACGAAATTGAAAATGGAGGTGGGGTTAGGATCAAATAGAAGTCTACTGATTTTGGAGATGATGGCTCTCCAATTGAAATTATAGATCAATCGAAGCGGAAATTAGCTTGGGGCTAAAGCATAGGGCTGAGCAGAAGGCATCCAATTTTGATAGTAATCGGGTAATTTTTAGTGGGTGAAATAGACCACAACATTTGTGTTAAATAAAAGTCAAATTTTTCATTAAACCGCGAATATTTTTAATTCTGACGAAATCACAAATAGACGAACAGGACAATTCTGACCATTACGTAGATGCCGATAGTAAATATATAGGATATATATAGCGAAATAAATTTTTACAAGGGCAGGGTTAGGCTCAGAAGGGCTAGGCCTATTATTTTTAAAGATGTCCGCAATATATTCAGGGGTTGAAATGGACCAACAACTAAAAATGTTCCCGTTATAAAGGTCACAAATAGAAACTAAAGGACATAAAATCTCGTACATAGTTAGACTTTAGGACAGCGGGTAGAATGGACCACTAAATTTGTGAGAAAAAATACAAACATTACTTACAGGGGAAATCCAAAATACACAAAAGGTGAACTTTTGGCGATGGTGTTAAGTCCTGTTGGAATGTCCAAGGTCTGCGGCCAAAATGTTGGCGTGCCCAAGGCTTTAATACACCCTCCAGAATATTTTTGCGATAATATTCGGATTTTTTTTGATGCCATGGTCGATTAATACAAGCGGAGAGCGACCATCGGCTGTTATTGCGGCCCACACCATCACCATGGCCGGCGCTTGAGTTTTGGTGGCCAACCGAAGGTGCACATTTTCAAGTGTCCTCTTTGTCACGATCATTTTGTTTGTTTACAAACTGCTGGACAACGAATGTTTTCTCATCGGAGACGGAGAAAACCAAATTCGGCAAAGTGAAGCAACTCTTTAGCTCCTTTGAGTATATTTTCTTTCTGTTGCGGTGTAATTTCTTGCACTTTTTGGAATTTCAATGGCTTTACCCCGAGCTCATTTTTCAACATTTGCTGAGTGTAATATTGTGATATGTTCATCTCACGAGCCATGCGATGCGGGTTTCGATCAAGTCGCTTCTTTACTTCTCGAACCATTTCTGCTGATGTTGCTGTTTTCCTCCGTCCACTTTCTTGACATCGGGCTACGCTACCAGTATCACGTTAACGAGCGATGGTACGAGACACAAAAGATTTATTCACAATTAAATGCTGGAGTGCTCTATCGATATCCAGGTTTGGTTTTCCAGCCAAATATACCACGCTACCACGCTTGAATTCCATCGCGAATAACTTTTTTTCTGGAAAATTCTCACCAAAATGCTTTTGTGCGCTTGTAAACAATATAATGAGCTGTCACTGGAATAATTTTAACAACTGTCGGACGAGTGTCTTAGAAATGGCAGCAGTCTGAATTTGGTTGCAGTTTTTTCATCTCACCCTGTATATTTAAATAATCGAACATTGGCAAAACCGACTGATATTTTTATCTTGTTGGTATAAGATTTTGTAAGACGATTCTTGTTTAAACACGAAGTTTGGGTACGCTATAACGAGTCAAGTATATATAGTACAAAATTGGCACATGGTAATATATTTTTCAGATTTAGGTCAGATGCAAACATGAAGAATATTATTCCATTGTTTCTTATACCACCTCACCAATTAGATCAAAATATTCCTTATGAAGATGTTATGTATGAATCCATTCCTTCTGTTACCTTTTCCATAATGAGAGATTTGTCTCCAGTTATCAAACTTCGCACACTGCATCAACTTCTATCTAATAGAGAACTTCAATATAAAAAAATATCCCATGTCGATCCAGGTACGTTATAGAGTTCGTCCGTCAGTTCTGTATCCCAATCAGGACTCCTTCGTTTTATAGGAAAATTGTAATTTTTGTATCATTGTTACCCCTGGGGGAGTAAGAAAATGATGTGCAATATCCTCTACACTATTAATCGCCTTCTTCGGCCTGGTTAATGCAGGAAACAAATACACAAACTCCGTTGGATATGAAATAGGTATTTATGTAATATTAGCAACGAATGACTCTACAACCCCATTTTTAAACCACACTTATTGAAAATATGTACTCCGAACCTTGAGGTCCCATAATTTGGCATAGTTCTAATACAAACATTTACAATTTCAAATTAGTTCCCGTATTAACTGATAAGATCTTAGTGGAGATAAAATCTTCTTGCAGTACATCTTCAGGTTATGTCCATGATTTGTCACGATTTGTCGTCGGTGTATATATAATAACATTTAACGAAACACTCAAACAATTAAAACTAAATAACAACATTTATTTAAAAACAAAAAATCAAGAAATAACAATTTCAGCACTTCTGCAAAAGAAATGCCTAATTAACTAAAAAGAATCTAATATTTAATAACGTTGACGGTAGACACGACGACGATTGGTTTTGTAGCGGTAACCATCTTCGGCCAACTCAGCGGTGGGAATGGGTGCAGATTCGGCGGCAGGGGGAACGTAAGTGTTGACGGGGGCAGAAGCGGCGGCTGGTGGAATATATGAATTTACAGGGGCACTGGCAGCTGGTGGAACATAGCTACTCTCAGGGGCAGAGGCTGCAGGAGGAATATAACTGTTGACTGGTGCCGAAGCAGCTGGAGGAATATAACTATTCACAGGTACTGAACTGCTATAGCCACCTTCATTGGCATAATCTCCATGAACTTCGGTTGCAGCTGGAGCTTGATATCCATAATCGCTCAATTCAGAGACATCAGCCATAACGGCGCCCAACAAGGCCAAAGAGACAATAAGGAATTTCTGCAAAGGGACAAAATCAAATTAGTTGCAATAATGATTTGTGTGAATATTTTCGATTTTTTTTACCATTTTCTAGATTTGTATTTGCTGAACTGTGTTATCGAAGAAATAACTGATGTTTTGTGAGAATTCGCGCCGTTTATATATCTTGATTTACGAGATATTATTTTTCGATTCAAAATTTCTGTTTTAAGATGACCTCTCAATACGATTACTTATTTGTTTGCGACATTCTTTGCCAAATTGCCAAACCATTCACTTGATTTACATAACAATGACAGCTGTTATGAATGGGAGTATTAGCGTGCAGGTCATTCCAAATCATGGTAAAACTCTTCACGTTGTTATGTATCTTAGTAGAGTTGGAGGCAAACATTTGCAGTTCGAAAAGACACAACAAACAGAAAATGATGAGTTTGAACCTTCGTATACCATAGAGGTATTCTTTTGATAGGAGACCTTCTATAACTTCGAAAGACCTTGTAGTGATAAAATCCTATACAATCAGATAAAAAAAAAACTTAATTCAGGCATTTATTGATGCAAGGTTCAGAATTGGACCTGGAGTAAATTGATGTTGAAAATGGCTCTTTATCTATAGGCCTTCTAAAGTTTTTAGCCCTCTACGCGATTTCTATGCATAAAACACAATCTTAAGGTTTGCTTTACACAAAACACTTTCTTAAGGTCCTTTCTATAGAGTAGACCTCGTAAAGGCAACAAAAACTTTCCAGTAGTGTTATATATCCGAAACATCTGTTAAAGGTCTTCTATATGGCAAAGATTTTCTGAAAGTTGTCTATACAAAAAAGATATGTTTAAGCCTGAGACGCTCTAAATATCTTCTATCTCTTTTAAAAAGTATTTTATAAGCCAAAGAAGAACGCTAAGATGCCTCTCTAGAGGGGTTCTAAGAAAAAAGACTTTCTGAAGAAGAAGAAGAAGCATCGACACAGAAGACCCTTTAATACCTTTTTTAAGGAAAACCAATTTTTTGTATACACAAAAGGGTTTCAAAGGTATTCAATTCAGAGTAAAGAGTCTGGAATAGAGGTATTTTTAAGATCTTCTATACAGAAAATAACTTCTGAAGGTGTTTAATACAGATGCGACTTTTTAAACGACTTCGATACGGAAAAGGCCGTCTAAAGTTGTTCTGTACAGGAAGACCTCCAAACACAGAAAAAATCTTCCAAAGAAGTTTTGTAGAATACAAGTATCCGCTACTTCGACAGTGAAAAGTCCACCTTAAAATTTTAGATTCGTTCCACCAGTTCATTTTAGTATTTAAAAATTACAATTTCTTCAGTATTTCTTGGACAAAATTTCCAAATAAAACTTCATACACCGTACTCCTATTTGTTTTCATTTTGGAAGATGATAATTGAAAAATAATTAAATTTTGCACAAAAAAAAAGTCTGCAAAAAACATTTGTTTGAAGTTTATGGAAAAGCATATTAGTAAGTCCATTGCACCATGATTCCACGTCCGATTTTTTTGGACAAAACTATTTCAACGTATTTTCATAATGGAAAATTTCCACCTGCATATCTAAATTCTAAAAACCAGAAGTGACCTTAATATCATATTTCGGGATTCAATTTCTATCTATTGGCTCACTTTTTGTACAGTTATACTACAAATGTTCAATACCACCTCAACTGTGACCTCGACATCAAATTTCAGAATTCCCTCAATACTCAACGGCACATTTTGTGGCTTTTTGTAGTTTTAATACATCCAAAACAATCTCCATATCTCAACCTCAGATACCAACAGTGACCTAAATATTAAATTTAATGATTTAAGTTCTGTAATTTTCCCCATTATTAAGTTTAAAATCATTTAATATCTTATAGTATGCTCTTCCCAAAACCAGCTGCTTCTCTCAACTACAGTTTCCAACAATCACATCCACATCTATCTCCTACACTCAATACCAAATTTTGGACTATTTCGTAAGTTTCGCACTACTATTGTACCCATTTCCAATGCCACCTCCATATCTTAACCACAGACACCAATAGTGATATCTATATCTAATTTCAGGATTTCCGCTCTATTCCTTCAACAATGCCAAAATTATTACTGTTTAGTACTTTTCGTATAATTATAGTACACATTTGCAAAACCAGCTCTTTCTCTCAACCACAGACACCAACTGTGACATCTATATCTTTGTGCATTTGTTTGTAACAGACAAAAGGAAACGAGATAGACCCATAGTTCCTTTTGATGATCTGCATAGAATCACATTCTGAGTCGATTTATGCATGGCCGTCCGTCCGTCTGTCCATGTATTTTTGTAAACAAAATACTGTTCGCATTTATTGGCCTATCCAGATGAAATTTTGCACAAATCATTTGTTTGGCCCAAGGACAAACCCTATTGAAATTGGAGATAATCGGTAAAAATTTAGATGTAGCTCCCATATATATCTTCGTCCGATTTGCCTTTTATTGTGCACCAAACGTCTAACATCAGCCCCAATGGAATGCAATTTTGCACATACAACCAAATTAGGCCTGAAAATAAGTATGCCAAATTTGATCGAAATCGGTTCAGATATAGCTATAGCTCCCATATATATTGTTCATCCGATTTGCTATTTTTGTCCTCCACAGCCGTAATATGCACTCTGTAACAACAATATTTGGGGAAATATATGAAATACAGCTCAGAAATACATTTGCTAAATTTTATGGAGATTGGTTCAGATTTGGATATAGCTCCCATATATAACTTCGTCCGATTTGCCTTTTATTGTGCACCAAACGTCTAATATTTGCCCAAATTGGATGAAATTTGGCACTTACGACCGAATTGAGTCTAGAAGCTAGTATGCCAAATTTGGTGAAGATCAGTTCAGATATTCCTATAGCTCCCATATATACTGTTCATCCGATTTTGTTATATTTGTTACCCACAGTCGTAATATGCACTAAGTAACAACGATATTCAGGAAAATATATCGAATACAGCTCAGAAATATCTTTGTCAAATCTTATCGAGATCGGTTCCGATTTGGATATAGCTCCCATATATATTTTTATCCGATTTCAAATTAATTGTGCACCAAATATTTATTATATTTAGTCCTTTGAACTTTAAATTATAATTATAATCATAACGTGTATGGTTGAATTCTCCCATTAAAACTTTTAATTGTTATGCGGAGCTCTACTAATTTAGCAAAGTGGTGTAGGGTATCATAAAGTCGGCCCCGCCCGACTTTAAGACTTTCTTTACTGGTTTCTCATTGGGGGCGATTCTGTCCTCTGCGAACAAGAATAATTAAATTACTTTTTTTTTTAATTCTTAAATACATTTGAAACCTTCAAGTCCTTTTAATCGTTATATAAAGGAGCTGTATGATGGACCTATATTGTAATCATTTTGTCTTTGAACTAATATATACTTCAGCATGATCCAATATAGCATATTTTCAATATCAACCCAATTCCAATCTACAAATAACTGCAATATAGGCCCACTTTTTGACCTTCTGGGAATAACTATGTTTTTTTTTTATTTATCAGAAATTTTCAGTCAATCGAATTCATGTCGATTTTGTTTTTCTATGGCTTCGGATTTTTTTTTTTTTTTTGAAACAAAAAAAATATATCTATTAAGTTATTGATACGGTTTCCACACGAATTCAAATATGAAGCGATCTGGAAAAAATTTATATCAAATATTTCTAGACTGTGTCTGATGTCTTTTATCGAATATCATTATTACGGACGCAAATTCCTGCTTTGGGTGACCTTAATATCAAATCGGTTAAAAAACATATATGGGAGCTGTGGCTATATCTGAACCGATTTTCACTCCTTCTGCACAAAATTTGATCTGAAGTATATTGTGCACCAAATATGTAATATCAGCCGAGGAGGATGAGTTGTGGCACATATAATTCATCCTCCTCGGCTGGCATTACATATATGGTGCACAATATACTTGAGATCGAAGATATATATGGAAGCTATATCTAAATCTGGTCCGATTGTTACCAATTCCAATGTTGTCGTAAAATATACGGGCAAAAGGACGAATATGTATGTATATATCGACTCAGAATGTGATTCTATGGAAATACTTAAAAGAAACTAGGGATATATTTCGTTTCGTTTTGTATGATACAAAATAAATGCACAAGCACATGATATTATGTCCTGTGTGACATAAGGTAAGAGAGTTAAGTATACAAGCATCCTACATTTAATACCAAAATGTCAAACCTTTTGGCCCCTCTTTACAGCCTCTCCTTCTCGGGAGAAAAACAAGTCCGATATATCCTAATGTATGACTATATTTTATGAAAATCTAATTATCCCACAGAAACTCAAAAACTTTTCATAAAATCATAACATTTATTACAAAAACTCAACAACTTCGTTCAAATATCACAGTCCACAATTGACTTCAATATTTACAACTCTAATTTAGACACGTTTACGGTAGACACGGTGGCGGTGGGTCTTGTAACGGTAACCGTCTTGAGCCAATTCAACAGTTGGTTCAGGGGCTGAGGCAGCAGCGGGTGGGATATAAGTGTTGACGGGTTCAGATGCAGCTACAGGGGGGACATAGGTGTTGACGGGTTCCGAGGCGGCTACGGGAGGAACATAAGTGTTGACAGGTTCCGAAGCAGCTGGAGGAATGTAGGTGTTAACAGGAGCTGAAGGAGCTGGGGCATGATAATCATAACCACCCGACAATTCGGAGACATCAGCCATAACGGCGGCAACCAAGGCCAAGGCGACAATGAAGAATTTCTAAGGAAATTTGCGAAAAATAAACATTTTTTTTAAATCCTTTTTTTAATATTTTCAAATTAGCTTACCATTTTGTTAATGGTTATTTGGGGGATGTTGCTTGTAAAACTCTTAAAGAATTTGTGTTGCCCCTCAATGCCCACCAATTGCCTATTTATAGAACAAATTCTTATTTCATAAATTCACTTTTATTTTGGAAATGCAACAGCCATGGAAATTTGAAGTAGGAAATGATGAATGTGTTTTTGTTAGGCAAATTCAAAAAATAGTAGGCAACTTTATAACTCAATATGCCATACTCGGTGACAATTCAAACCACAGGCCGGCCATTCATCTTAATTTGCCATAAAAATATTTCCTTGTTTTTTGCTTTGAACTTCATATTAGAGCACACTGGCTGGCTATTTGAGAACAAAAGCAGAAGTCATCAGTTTCATTTTCATTTAAATAAAGTGAATGGTATTTTTTGTTAATAATCGGCCAAAAATGTATTGCGAACAACGAACTTATAGACTTATACAAACATTGATGCTTCTTAAAGACTTATATGGTTGCTAAATATTATTGTGGTAGAAAATTCAATTTTGTATAAAAACATCAAGTATTTTGCCAAAATATCATCACAATTACTTCAGTAGTTATCGAAAATACACCAATCTTCAAAATGGTAATATTGCATCAAAAATTTTATTTAGAATCCCAATTTTATGTTTGGTTTTTGATTTTTTAGAAATTCTTCATTGTTGCCTTGGCTTTGGTTGCCGCCGTTACGGCCGATGTCTCCGAGTTGTCGAGTGGCTATGACTATCACGCCCCTGCTCCTTCGGCTCCAGTCAATACTTATATCCCACCGGCAGCTGCTTCAGAACCTGTCAACACCTATGTTCCTCCCGTAGCTGCTTCGGAACCCGTCAACACCTATGTTCCCCCCGTAGCTGCCTCTGAACCCGTTAACACTTATATCCCTCCCGCAGCTGCCTCGGCCCCTGAACCAACTGTTGAATTGGCTCAAGACGGTTACCGTTACAAGACCCACCGTCATCGTGTCTACCGTAAACGTGTCTAAGCCAAGTTTGAACAATTTTTGTTGTTTTTGTTGGTATTAAATAAATGTTATTGTTTTTGAAAAAAAAAACTTATTTCGTAAGTTTTCCAATATGAGAGCCTATAGGTTAGCTTTTTTAAAATTTCTGAAATATTTCGAATATTATAGCACTTAATAAATGATCAGCTCCTGTTTTTGGTTATTGCAAGGGTCTTGGTAAGATTTTCCTATTGATTTGATGGAAAATTATTATTTTGGAGTTTTGCTTTTTTCACTCAGTACCAATAACTCCACTAAAAATTTGTCCAACCAAATCGGTTTTAATAATATTAAATACCATTTGTCAAAATATTTTCACACCAAAAAAATTATCAAAATCTTGGAAATATGATCAAGACCCTCAATATAAATGAAATCAGTATTATCTTCTTCCTTTGAAATTTATTGCGAAAAAGTGTAGTACGGGCAAGAATCGACTGGAAAATATTACCAAGACCTTTGCAATAACCAAAATCAGTTTTATAATTATATAACAGCTGTACCAATAGTTGGACCTATATTAATAATTTTTATACACTCCACCATACATATTATGGAGGGTATATTAAGTTCGTCATTTCGTTCGTAACACATCGAAACAATAATTTTAGACCTAACAAAGTATATATATTCTTGATCAGAGTAAAATTCTAAAACGCAAATTCGTCCATCCGTTGGAATGTAAGTCTGTCCATCTGTTGTAATTACGCTAGAGTCAATATGAAACTAAAAATTTGAACAGATCTGTCTTTTGTGGCCTGCCTACAGGTCAAGTTCGGTCCAAGATATCATATAGCCCCCACATAACGTTACCCCTGACATTTGGTATTTTGATAATTTTAGGAATTGGAATTTTCTGAAAAGCCTCACAAGAAGTTCTTTTTAAGAGAATTGTCTACAGGGTGAGATAAAAAAAACTGCAAGAAAGTCAAACGCCATAATTTTTACATTTTTTCAATTTTATTGAAAAAAAAAAACAAAAAATGTCGAAAAAGCATCAATTTTAGAATAAGTTTAGATTTGTTCGAATTGGTCACCTTTGGCACGAATTACGCTCACACGCTGTCCGAATGTTGCTCTGCGCTATTTTGGCCCATTCCCAGGGAAACGCTTGCTTGAGGTGATCGACATTCCTTGTTTTTCAAAATACTCCAGACACAATAGTCCAACCGACCGGTATCCGGAGATTTTGGTGGCCATTTTTTTGTAACCATGGGTGGCGTGTGCTGAGTGCGATGGTGCTGAGTCCTGTTGGAATGTCCAAGGTCAGCGGCCAAAATGTTTGCGTGCCCAAGGCTTTAATACACCCTCCAGAATATTTTCGCGATAATATTCGGCATTTATTCTGATGCCACGGTCTATTAATACGAGCGGGGAGAGTGACCATCGGCTGCAATGGCGGCCCACACCATAACCATGGCGCGCGTTTAAGTTCTGGTGGCCAACCGAAGGTGCAGAAAGTGCACATTTTCAGCCAAATATAAAAAGTCATACTATCACGCTTGAAGCTTGAATTCCATCACGAATAACTTTCTTTCTAGAAAATTCTGAACAAAATGCTTTTGTATGCTTGTAAACTATATAAAGAGCTGTAACTGAAATAATTTTAACAGTTGTCGGACGAGTGGATTAGAAATGACAGCAGTCTGAAATTGGTTGCAGTTTTTTCATCTCACCCTGTATATCCGATATATCTACTATCGTAACGGTCAGAATTGACCTTTTGCGTGAATTTGTAATTCGCCGTTTAATGCAAAAATTGGACTTTTATTTAACAAATGTTATTGTCTATTTCAACCACTAAATATTATTCTATGACCATCCAAATTGGAAGGCTTCTACCCATCCCTAAGTTCTAGCCCCATGTTAACTTCCGCGTTGATTGGTTTATAATTGCGACCTGTAGAGCAACTGCAAAGTCAGAAAATTTTTCAGTTTTTGGTCTATTTCAACCCGTAAATATAATGCTATAATCTCAAAAAACAATGTGGCTCCATTCTGACCCTATCCCGACCTCCATTTTCAATTTCGTGAGGATCGGGTCATAATTGCGACCTGTAGCTTGATTACAAATTAACATGGATAGACGGACGGACGGACATTCATAGCTAGATCGACTCATGTCGAGGAGATAGGAAGATCCATATATATTTTCCTATGTGGAACACCAATATTTCGAGGTGTTACATAATTTTTGGTCCAATCAAACTTATAATAAACCCAACACATAGTATTGTAGGGTATAAACAAATTTAATTAAAGTTTTTTTTTTTTAAAAATATAACATTTATTAACGACTCAACAAAACACTGTCAAAAAATACCAAACTCTTTGATTTAGAAACGTTTACGGTAGACAACACGACGGTGGGTCTTGTAACGATAACCATCATCGGCCAATTCAACAGTTGGTTGAGGAGCCGAGGCAGCTGCGGGTGGGATATAAGTGTTGACAGGTTCAGAGGCAGCTACAGGGGGTACATAAGTGTTGACGGGTTCCGAAGCAGCCACGGGAGGAACATAAGTGTTGACGGGCTCCGAAGCAGCTGGTGGGATATAGGTGTTGACTGGAGCCGAAGGAGCTGGGGCGTGATAATCATAACCCGATGACAATTCGGAGACATCAGCCATAACGGCGGCAACCAAAGCCAAGGCAACAATGAAGAATTTCTAAAGGTATAAGGGAGAAATTAGAAAATATTTATTTCAAGATATTTTTTTCCTCATGGGATTTCCATGAAAAAAATTATTATTTTGTGAGTATTTTATAATTGGCTTACCATTTTAGACAATTTTAATTATTTTTGGAGAACTGCTTAAAGAACACTTTAAGTTCTGAACACAGAAATTATGACGTGGAGTTTCTTCCACACTGTGTCTATTTATATGAATGCATCGCCTTCTTTAGTCCTAAAATAATGCACAATTTTTCTGATTACTTGAAATGGAAATGCAAATGTGTATTTTCTTAAAAATGATTAATGCCTGGCTTGCTGTCTGGGTTATTTTTATTAGGGGCTTTTAATAAGCCATACTAGGCAAATACGCACAACACAACAAAAGGTGATTATGTGGATTAATAAAATGCCGATTTTTAAGTTTCCAAAATAGTTTCTTGTTTTCTAAATGAGCCACTGCAATTTGTCATCTAAACAAAAAAAACTAGCCAAACATCTTTAGTTTCGTTTTTTGATTTGAATAAAGTGAAAGGCTACTCTGTGAAATAGCATTTCCGACTTATTCTAAGCCAACATTGAAATGTCTATTTTTGGCCACAACTATTAGTTGAGTGAACTTAGAACAATTTTTTTTTTTAATTTTTGGGGAAAAAGTAATTTTTCTATAAAAACTTAGGCAGATTTTGAAAAATATTATCAAACTTACTTTGGTAGTTATTCAATAAACATCAAAAAATTCCAAAATGGTAAGAATAAAGGAAAAAATCAATATTTTATGGCTAGAATTTAAGCAATTCGCCTTCTTTTGTAGAAATTCTTCATTGTTGCCTTGGCTTTGGTTGCCGCCGTTATGGCTGATGTCTCCGAATTGTCGTCGGGTTATGACTATCATGCCCCAGCTCCTTCGGCTCCTGTTAACACCTATATTCCTCCAGCTGCTTCGGAGCCCGTCAACACTTATGTTCCTCCAGTAGCTGCCTCGGAACCCGTCAACACCTATGTTCCTCCTGTAGCTGCCTCTGAACCCGTCAACACTTACATCCCACCCGCAGCTGCCTCGGCTCCTCAACCAACTGTTGAATTGGCCGATGATGGTTATCGTTACAAGACCCACCGTCGTGTTGTCTACCGTAAACGTTTCTAAATCGCAGATTTTGGTATTTTTTGATAGTGTGTTGTTGACTCTTTAATAAATGTTATATTTGTATAGAAAAAATTGATTGGATTTTTCATAAATTCCGATATATAATTTTCCAGCAAAATGTGAGAATCAATAACAGGATACTGGGATTTTCCCCCTCTAGAGTTCATAATGTTCTAGAAAAAATACACATCTCATGTAAATCGAGGGAAGACTTAGGTCAGGTGCCAAAAAGGTAAATATCGATTCATTTATTCTAGTACATACCCCACAAAGCGTCAAAAGTTCTGCAATAACACTGATCAAATGCGGCGAATTTTCTCCAAACACTACACATCCCCGCAAAGTTTTTTTCAAACTTCATATATTTCAATATTTCTGTCAATACTAAATCCGCTGTGAAAATGAGAAATTTTGAAAATTTTAAATAAGTATAAAGAGAATACCTACCGAATACATGCTTCTATCCGAACTTAGGGCGTTGGAGTGTTTGAATCAGACTAATATCGGCAACTATCTTCATTTTAATGAAATATTAGTAAACATTTTTAAATATGTAAAGTATTCCTGATTTTCTTTAAATTTCGTATTATGGGAAATTTCGACGGAACCAGATTTTCAGACTTTTAATGCTTTACATATTATTCCAGCATATCCTTTTTTCGGAGCGAATAATTGAAAAATGTTTACGTTTTATACCAAAAACCACTGACATCAACATCAAATTTTAAGAATTCCAGCTCTTTACCTTCACTCAATATCAACATTAGTATCTTGTACTTTTCAAGCAATTATGCTATTCATTTCCAAAATCACCTCCATTTCCAATTCCATATACCAACAGTGGCATCAATATCAAATTTAAGGATACCGGATATATCCCTTCACCCGATACCAAATTTAGTACCACATAGTACTTTACTTTTACTACCCATTTCCAGAAACACCTCAACATCTTAACCGCCGCCACCAACAGTGACATATATATATACAGTTTCGGGGTTTCAGCTCTATTCCTTCACTCAATACCAATTTTAGTACTTTTTGTACAAATATAGGACGATCTTCCTATTCCAAAATCCAAAGTATTCCAAATTTAGTACCATTTAGTACAGTTCGCATACACATGCCAAAACCAACTTCATATATCAAAATTTACTTTCCAACTTTGATTCTCATAACAATTTAAATATTTTTAGACCTATCCGTTCTCATAATACGAAATGGTACAATTTTAGATGTTTATAACCATTTTAGAACTTGTCGTAACCTTAAAGTTCGAATTTCCGTAGGTGCATGTAACAGGGTGAGATGAAAAAACTGCAACCAACTTCAGACTGGTGTCATTTCTAAGCCATTCGTCCGACAGCTGTTAAAATTATTCCAGTGACAGCTCATTATATTGTTTACAAGCGTGCAAAAGCATTTTGGTGAGAATTTTCCAGAAAAAAGGGTATTCGTGATGAAATTCAAGCGCGATGATGTGATTTCTTTATATTTGGCTGGAAAACCACTAGTGGTTATCGTTAGAGCACTCCAGCATTTAAATGTGAATAAATCTATTGTGTCTGATACCATCACTCGTTAACGTGTGATGTGGACGTAAGAAAACAGCAACATCAGCAGAAATGGTTCGAAAAGTAAAGAAGTCGCATTGGCCGAAAAATGACTCGTGAGCTGAACATATCGTAATATTCCATTCGGCAAATATTGAAAAATGAGCTCGGGGTAAAGTCATTGAAATTACAAAAAGTGTAGGAACTTACACCGCAACAGAAAGAAAATAGACTCAAAAGAGCTAAAGAGTTGCTTCGCTTGGCTGAAAGTGGTGAAGTGCAGAATTTGGTTTTCTCCGTCTCCGATGAGAAAATATTCGTTGTCCAGCAGTTTGTAAACAAAAGTATTTGCTTGTCAAAGAGGCCGCATTTTGGCCGCCGACCTTGGACATTCCAACAGGACTCAGCACCATCGCAATCAGCACGCGCTACTCAAGAATGGTTACAAAATGAGGTTCCTCGCTTCATTTCCAGCGCACAATGGCCATCAAAATTTCCGGATACCAATCCGTTGGACTATTGTGTCTGGAGTATTTTGGAAAGCAAGGTTGGCACTAAAAAATACCAAAGTGTCGATCACCTCAAGCAAGCGCTTCGCCGGGAATGAGCCAAAATACCGCAGAGGAACATTCGGGTAGCGTGTGACGGTTTCATTGGCCGTTTGAAGGCCATAATTCGTGTCAAAGATGACCAATTCGAACACATCTAAACTTATTTTAAAATTTGATGCTATTTCCGACATTTTTTGCTTTCATTCAATAAAAATTTAAAAATGTTAAAAATATAATAATAATATGTCGTTTGACTTTGTTGCAACTTTTTATCTCACCCTGCACTTATCTTTCTTCTTGATTTCCATACCAAATTTCCAATTTTTTAGCTCTATTAAGAACTTTTCCTAAATTTAAAGTTCGAATTTTCAAAGGCCTTTGGTACGTCTATCCTGCATCCCTAGTTTAAGAATTCTAACTAATTTAGTTTGTCCAACACAAAGTATTAAATTTTTGGTACATTTTAGTACTATCCGTATGCTTTAAAATAATACCAAATGGTACCATTTTAGAAATTCTGAACATTTTTTGGACTAGTTTAAGTCATCGGCAGGCTTCTTCTTAGAAGACATAGATGAATATATACTTCATTCCCTTCGCAATACATTAAAATGTGGGTCGTAGATTTTGATATATTGCGAATGGAATTATATATATATATATATATATATATATATATATATATATATATATATATATATATATATATATATATATATATATATATATATATATATATATATAATATCTCCTCCATTTCATGGTGGAGAGTGTAAAAAATATCTATACTTTCGCCTATATATGAAATATGGGCTATATTTAATTTTCAATTCTTAAATTCTCCTCAACATTCAAGTTAAATTAAAATACTTCACAAATACATATACACTAACATTTATTTAAAAAACAAAAACAACAAAAATTTTTCTATTTCACTTAGAAACGTTTACGATAGACACGATGACGGTGAGTCTTGTAACGGTAGCCGTCTTGAGCCAATTCAACAGTTGGTTCAGGAGCCGATGCAGCTGCGGGTGGGATATAAGTATTAACGGGTTCAGAGGCAGCTACGGGGGGAATATAGGTGTTGACGGGTTCCGAAGCAGCTGCGGGAGGTACATAAGTGTTGACAGGTTCCGAGGCAGCCACTGGTGGGATATAAGTATTGACTGGCTCAGAAGCTGCTGGAGGGATGTAGGTATTGACTGGAGCCGAAGGAGCTGGAGCATGATAATCATAACCGCCCGACAACTCGGAGACATCAGCTATGACGGCGGCAACCAAAGCCAAGGCAACAAGGAAGAATTTCTAAAAGAAAACCGATTTTTGGTTAAATATCTATTTAATGAAATGATTACGAAAAGCTTACCATTTTTAGGTTTAATGTGTTTTGGATAACAACTGAAGTAATTGTGATGCTATTCCGCAAGAATACTTGAAGTTTTTATACAAATTTCAATTTTGTTTGAACATAACTCTAACTAAACTTACATCCATAGAAATTGTCTAAAAATATCAACATCATATTGTCAGTTTTCAATTTGTTTGAAATTGGATTAAAACAAAAATACCATTCACTTGATTTAAATAAAAAAACGAAACGAAACAAAACTGAAAATTGTTTGCCCCAATGCAGTGGCTTTGACAAGCATAAAATCCAAACGAGGAAATAAATATTTCTATGGCATTTTTAATGACCGCCGAATATTTTATTTATTTATTAAATTATAAAGTTGCCTATGGCTAACTTTATTTTAAAATTTATAGATATATTGATAACTAATAACAAAAGACATTAATCAATTCCTAGTTGTACCTCAAAAATGCATTTACCAAATTTAGTTATTAAAATAAATGTAAAACCGTTCTATAAATAGACAAAGTGCAACTCAAACATTATATCACAAATTCTTCAAGAGTCTTAGAAACAACAACCTAAAAACCGCATCTCAAAATGGTACGTCATAGAGGCAAACATTCAGCAAAGGATATTAAATCTCATTTGTCCCTTAATCCCCTAGAAATTCTTCATTGTTGCTTTGGCTTTGGTTGCCGCCGTCATGGCTGATGTCTCCGAATTATCGGGTGGTTATGACTATCATGCCCCAGCTCCTTCGGCTCCAGTCAACACCTATATTCCCCCCGCAGCTTCTGAGCCCGTCAACACTTATATTCCACCTGTAGCTGCTTC